CAGGAAGAGCACAATGATAATACCAACATGGGCCAGTGAAGCGACATCCTCCACAACTAGACTGAAGAACAAAAGGACAGCAACTTGTCTGTTCCCCTGCCCCGATTCCCCAATGCTGTTCTCCCCCAATTCCTCAATGAAATCTTTAAAAAAAACAAAAAACAATACCACCAACTATCTTCCCTATGTTGTACTTCACATCGTGTGACTATATATACCTATATTTTAGTTAGAGTTGACATTCAGTATTATTCTACTTCAGCTTCAGGTGTATAGCACATTAGACAGGCATCTACACAGTCTATGACATGATACCCCTGATAAGTCCAGTGCCCATCTGGCACCTTACATGATCTTTACAACATTGTTGATTATATTTCCCATTCTGTATTAACTACCAATTTGTATTTCTTAATACCTTCACTTTTTTTACCCTGCTCCCAACCCCATTCTCATCTATCACCCTGATAGATCTAGTACATATCTGGCACCATACCTAGTTATTACAATCTTATTGACTATATTCCTTATGCTATACCCTACATCCCCATGACTACTGTGTAACAACCAATTTGTACTTCTTAATCCTGTCCCCTTTTACCCATCCTAAACCCCCTCCCATCTTAAAGAAGTCCCTCTAAGATTTCTTGTAATACTGGTTTGGTGGTGGTGAACTTCCTCAGCTTTTTCTTGTCTGGGAAGCTCCTTATCTGTCCTTCAATTCTAAATGATAGCTTTGCTGGGTAATCTTGGTTGTATGTCATTGCTCTTCATCACTTGGAATATTTCCTGCCACTCCCTTCTTGCCTGCAAAGTTTCTGTTGAGAAATCAGCTGCCAGTCTTATGGGGGCTCCCTTGTAGGTAACTAACTGCTTTTCTCGTGCTGCTTTTAAAATTCTCTCTTTGTCTTTAACCTTTGGCATTTTAATTATGTGTCTTGGTGCTGGCCTCTTAGGGTTTATCTTGTTTGGGACTGTCTGTGTACCTCCTGGGCTTGTATGTCTATTTCTTCACCAGGTTAGGGAAGTTTTCTGTCATTATTTCTTCAAAGAGGTTTTCAATTCCTTGCTTTCTCTCTTCTACTTCTGGTACCCCTATAATGTGAATGTTGGTATGCTTGATATTGTCCTGGAGGCCCCTTAAATTCTCCTCAATTTTTGGGATCCTTTTTTCTTTTCTGGTTGGGTGTTTTCTGCTACTTTATCTTCTACATCGCTGGTTGGATCCTCTGCTTCATTTAATCTACTGTTGATACCCTATAATATATTCTTCATTTCCATTATTGTATCCTTTATTTCTTTTTTAAAGATTTTATTGGGGAATTGGGGAAAGGAACAGTGTTGGGGAATTGGGGAAGGGGAATATTGTTTTTTTCCAGAGCCCATTAGCTCTACATCAAGTTGTTGTCCTTCAATCTTAGTTGTGGAGGGTGCAAGCTCAGCTCCACGTCCAGTTGCTGCTTTCAATCTAGTTGTGGGAGGGGGGAGGCGCAGACCACCATCCCATGCAGGAGTCAAACCAGCAACCTTGTTGTTAAGAGCTTGCGCTCTCACCAGCTGAATGGCTGCTCAGCTCAAGGTGCTGTGTTCAATCTTAGTTGTGGGGCGGGGGAGGGGGGGGCTTGCAACCCACCATCCCATGTGGGAGTCAAACCGGGAACCTTGTAGCTGAGTTATCCAGCCACCCATTGATTGGTAGCTCAGTGGCAGCTCAGCTCGGGCACAGCTCACTGGCCCATGTGGGAATTGAACCGGCGACCCTGTTGCTCAGAGCTCACACTCTTAACCATCTGAGCCACTCGACCAACCCCCATTGAACATTCTTATAACTACTGTTTGGAACGCTGCATCTGATAGATTGCTTATCTCCATTTCACTTAGTTTTTTTTCTGGAGCTTTATTCTGTTCTTTTATTTGGGACATGTTTTTTTGTCTCCCCATTTTGGCTGCCTCCCTGTGTTTGTTTCTGTGTACTAGGTAGGCCTGCTACGTCTTCCAGTCTTAGTAGAGTGGCCTTATACAGTAGGTGTGCTGTGGGATTCTGTGGCGCAGTCTCTCTGGTCACCTGAGCCATGCACTCCAGGTGTGTCCCTTGTGTGGGCTGTGTGTGACTTCCTCTTGTAGTTGAGCCTTCGGTGATAACTGCACATCAATGGGAGGGACTGACCCTTAGGCTCACTAGGTGTGAGGACTGGACTTGACTACAGAGGAAGAGTTGCTGTGCAGGGTCTGATCCTACAGAGCAGGAGCTGCTCCAGCAGGACTCTGGTGTCTGCCCAATCTGCCCCTTGGGTGTGCTGTACTTGGAGGCAACTGGATAATGCTCCAGCTCATTTTGAAACTGGCCACTGGGGGTGACAGCCTCAGGACCACCTTGGAGGGGATCCACTGTAGGTCAAGTTCAGCCCCAGTCCGTGTCCCACTTGGGGCCACGAGCAGGAGCCACAAAGAAATCCACAGATGTTTGCTGCCCTTGAAGCACTGGGAAGTGCCTTGATAGGTTAAGCCACGAACCAAGGCTGGCTGCCACTAATGCCACACTTAGGATTGCTCAGTAGAGGTACAGGACACATTCAAGCCAGATGCTGCTTGTCTGCATTCCCCGGACCTTTAAAAGACCCTAGGAAAGTCTGAAGCTTGAGCCAAGGCAGGTGGTCTGCAAGAAAAAGCCACTGGAAGCAGCCTGGATGTGCCTGAAAGTTACGGGGGGGGGCAGGTCTTGAATCTCCAGGGCGGGGCAAACTAATAGCAGAGACTCAGATTGGTGGCCACCTGTGTCTGCAATTGGGGAAGGGGGGGGCTCAGCAAAGAAACAATGGCCTCTGCCAGCTCCTCCGTCCAGGAGAAAGCCGCCCCTCCAGCCCCCATCCCAAGCCAGACAACTCAGTTTCCCACCATATGTCCCTGCCGCTTCCAGCCACTGCCCCAGCTCTGAAGCTCTGAGCGAGTGATTCCGTTGGTGAGTAAGTCCACATCTGGTCCCTTGAAGAGGAGCGCCTGGGCGTGCAGCCGCCCTCCGTCTCACTCAGTCACAATCTCCGCTGGTTTTCACAACCAGAAATTAGAAGGACTTCTCTCCCCTTAACTGAAACCCTGGGATGAAGTGGGGTTGGGATCTCTTACTCTTCTGGGGGGTGTAGAGGGTTTCCACAGCCGAAATATCCTTCCCAATCTTTAATGGTCACACACGGGTGTGGGACCAGCCCATTCCACATCTTTGCCCCTCCTACCAGTCTGGAGGTGGCTTTTTCTGCGCATCCTTATTTGAAAGGCTTCAGTTCAGCCTGATTTTAGGTGATTCTCAATGGTTATTTTGTAGATTAGTTGTAATTTTGATGTGGTTGTGACAGAAGGTCAGCACAGCATTTTCCTACTGCCCCATCTTGGTTCTCCCCCTATATTGTTTTACCTCATAGAGTTTTTTGTTACCTGCATAAATACATGTAAAGCACTTATTACAATGCCTGGTACATGATAAATGCTCCCTAATTTTTGCCATTTATTATTATTATTATTTATTATTATTGTTATTGTTGTTGTTGTTGTTACTAAAAAACAAGAGATGATACATAGCATGAGTGAGAGTATTGAAAAAGTGAAAAGAGAGCCTTCCCTAAAGCAGGCATTGCCATAAATCTCAAGGATTATGGTAGGGGGATGTCCCCTCATCCACAGACAAAAAAGGACTTTGTCCAGGTGTATCCCACCCCCTCTCATTATGATGTTCTTGCAAAATATATTATTCTGCTTTTATCTCTTTTTCTGAGCTACACCTCTACTGAAACCTTGTGGTTTCAATACTTAAAAGTAAGGAACAATAGGCTATCAAAGAAGGGTGGATACCCAAGTTTCTGGAGTGTGACACACATAGTAGAGAGCAATCTGGGCCCCTGATACTCTAAATATGTGTGAAGTAGAGAGTACTAACATTAAACTACCAAGATCTGACTAGAAATCCCTCAGTTCTACCAAGAATTGTAAATGTTTTTTTGGTAGTGTTTCTTCTTCCCACCCTCTCATACATGTTTTGAATCCGTTCTTGATAGTGTGAATTTGATCTGTTCAGGATTCAATCTCTTCACAAGCTTCTCTTGCCCATAATTAGGGGAAATAAACAAATTCTGCACCCCAAACCAAAGAAAATGCAGAACAACATGGGTAATCTTTAATAAACAGCCAAGTTTGTGGTAGAAAGGAGTCAGAGGGGAAGGAAGCAGGATCAGACAGCCTGAACACAAGGCTCAAACACAACAGAGACCTAGATGAAGAAGAAGCACGCTAGTTCCAGGAAGAAAACAAGGGAAGATAAACCTCTCCTTATCAATTCAAATGTGCAATTCCAGGCATGTTAGCTGGAATTGCTCCCAACACAGGGCTTGAACCAGCTGAGCAACCTCAGGAGCTCCCTGGGAGAAAGAAATCTGGAGCAACTTGTGATGGGCAGAAGATGAAAACTTCTTATTAAAAATCTGTTTTGCAACACATGCCAAATAGGATTTTGGTACTCTGAGGAAACCTCCTTAGTTCCCTGAATGTTGGGAGCTGACTGGGAGCAGTCAAGGGACCCTCAGACTGCAAGCTGGTTAGCTGCAGGCCTCCATGACAGGGTGAGCAGTCTAAGACAGCCTAGAAAACAGTGCTCTTAGCTGGAGACAAGTGACAGCTCAACACAGCGCCAGTGCGATGTGAAGAATCAAAAGACTAACCTGTTGCTAGCTAACACATGGAGTTGTGGACACTTTCAATTCATATGCTTATCATTGCTTAGGAGATTTAGGGGACCAAAATTCCTTTAAGGGAATTGATCTCTTGCAGTTTCTATTTGCTAGATGTAACCTTGCTTAGGGGAAATTTTTTCCCCACACCCTTCTGCCAGAAGGGAATTACCAGTAGGGAACTGATCCCTGCAAAGAGGAAATTGCCTCCTCAATATAAGCTTGTTGCAAACAACAAACTGAGTCACTGACTAGCCACTCAGCAGTGAGTGAACCTCCCTAGCCCAACTTTCATTTCTGTCTCTTTCGTTTCGCCGCTCCTCGCTCTGGTCCTCTCAGGTCCGCCGGGATTCCCCTGGCTGGGTGAGTGGGTCTCGTCACCTGAAAATGAGCAAATCAGCAAAACAAAAAAAGATTATGCGGTCAGAGGAGGAAAAAAATGCTTCTTATTTTTGGTCACATGTCTTAAGAGCTCAGAGCAATCATCTTGTAGTTTTGAAGCTTCCCGAGAGACAAGTTTCTTATTTTAGAGAAAATCTGACTAGAGAAAGGTGAGCAACAGGAATGTGTACCAAGAACTTCTCACAGGTATGCTGTTTTTTTTTTCTTTACCTTTGATCAGCATCCCAGCAATATACACAGAATTATGGGAAGAAATCCTTTCCCAGCATGTTACAAAGATATAGATAGCATTACTAGAATCTGAGAGATCAAGAAACTAATTTTTTTTCTTCAAAGTAACTCATTCAGAAATTTCACCGTAGTCAGTGGTATTACATGGAGATGGCATAGCATTTATTATCATGTTAGCCAATAAGCCTTGTTTCCTACTGCTTACACCTTTCTACCTACACTCAATACTTAAGCAGCTCTTAATAATCTGGGATCCAAAGAGATATCTGTGCTCCTATGTTTTGCACCATTATTCACAAAAGCCAAGATATAGAAACAATCTAAGTGTCTAACAATAGATGAGTGGATAAATAAATGTGGTATATATGTACAATAGACTATTCAGCTGTAAAAAATAAGGAAATCCTGCCATTTGCAATAATATGGATGGACCTTGAGGACATTATGCTAAGCGAAATAAGTCACACAGAGACAGACAAATAGTATATGATCTTGCTTATATATGGAATCTAAAAAAATCAAACTCATAGAAACAGAGAGGAAATCTCTGGTTGCCAGAAGTCGGGGTGGAGGTAGGGGAATGGGGTGAAGGTGGTTAAAAGATACAATTTTCCAGTTATAAGATAAGTAAGTTCTGGGGATGTAATATACAACATGACTGTAGCTAGCAATACTGTTTTTTATATTTGAAAGTTGCTAAGAGAGTAGATCTTAAAAGATTTTATCACAAGGAAAACAATTTTGTGTAACTGTGAGGTGATGAGTGTTAAACTTATTGTGGCAATCATTTAGCAATATATACATATATCAAAGCATTGTGTTGCACACCTTCAACATATACAGTGTTATATGTCAATTATATCTTAATAAAACTGGAGAAAAAAGAATTTGGGATCCCATGTACATCCTAAGTTAGGTGCTTCTGTAACTGCTGGGTAGAATATGCTGTGCAAATTATCACATTGCTTTAGAAATATACTTCCACTTTCAGTCTAATAATCTCTCTAAAATAGCATATGCAATTTTAGAGTTAATTTTTATTTTGGCCACTGCAGTTGTTCTTGACTGGTTTTTACCACACCTCAGAAGCGCCAGGAGTCAGCAGTTGGAAGGAAGGGGTAGAATTCTAGATAGCACTCTGGGCTCACTTTCCCCACAGTCCATGCAGTAGAGTTGGGGAACAGGCATCAAGGTCTGTATTTACACCACTTGTGCTGAGTTGGTAAGAGCACTGAATTTGAGATCAAGAGGCCTAGATTTGAATCTCAATCCATACTACATACTAAGGGCCAAGTCATGTTACCGATCTGGGCTCCTTTCATCTTCTGAAGAACTTCATGGATGTTATATGGCAAGATTGTAAATTTTAAAGTGCTAAGAAATTTTGAGGTATCTTTTCTGGGTATCAATCCCATAGACCCCTCAGACTAGAGCATGCATTGTGGATCACCTCCTCTCTCATCTCCTTCATCCCCAGCCAAATTTTTGAATAATAACACTATCAAAAAACTTCCAAGAGTAGAAATGGAAGCATCCATGCATCCCAAGTTCATAAAGAAAACATAGAATATTTAAAAAATAAGCTATGTATATTTTAATTTGTGGCAAGCTTTCAGCTGAGGCTATTAGTTAGCTATATTTCGCAAATGGCATGGAGTGTTACTTGGAGTTTCATACTCTCAGGTTCTGTGTGAATCATGAAACCCTGTTTTCTAAAAACCCTCACCAGAAGGCCCCTTTGTACAAGCTCAGGAATGACTTTGAAGGACACAGGGGTATGGGGAGCTGGGGGTGGTAAGTGGAGCTATCGTGTCATCAGCCTCGGTAAAGAAGCTCAAAAATTCTTCTGAGGCATGATAACACTTGTAAATGTGACACAATTAGGCTTCTGTTCTCAGAGTTAAGCTTATCTACTGCTGGAAAATTGTTTGATTTGGGTGCTGACCTACTGCATGGAGACAGTTCCCTCAGTTACGCTCTGTAGTAGGTCGGCCCCAGGGAAACAGTGAGGTCAAAGACTGCTGTTCCCTGTTGGGCCAGCTCTGACCTTCAGGGGCTAGGAGTTGTTGAGGAGAAATTTTACATTATGAAGCAAGTGGCTTGAAGTGTGTGTATGTGTTTCACTCTCTGCTCAGCTTTGTTGACCTTGGGAGGGTTGTGAGCTGATTGTTTTCTGTAGCGATACACAGGGTAACGATGGACTTGATAACTGAGGGTTAGAGCTAGTTCCAATTACCTCAATAGTTATTTGGTTCAGGGACAAACTGAAGACAAGGCCATGGGAATTGTTTGACATCAAGTCCAAACTCAAATAGGCTATGCCTGTTGTTCACAGAATGTGGTCCCTGAACCAGTAATATCAACATCACCTGGAAAGTTGGGGAAAACTCAAATTCTCGGGCCTCTTTACAGACCAAATGAATCTAAAACTTTGGGGTTGGGGCCCAAAAATCAGTGTTTTAAAAAGTCTTCCAGGGCCGGCCGAGTGGCACGTTGGTTAAGAGCTGGCTTGGGACGCCAGAGGGCCCCGGTTTGGATCCCACATATGAGAGCCAGTGACACTGCCCTCTACAACTAAGACAGCTGGGCTACTGTGAGTCACCGGTGATAGTAGGCTGCAGCCCCTGCTGCAGTGGGTTGTCATGGGCTACCATGTGTAGCCAGCAGCCAGCGTGAGGCCAGCAGCCACAGTGAGCGGCCGTCTAGAAGCCGGCGACTGATCTGCCTCGCCCGGGAAGAGTACAATGATGGTGCCAACTTGGGCCAGTGAAGCAATGTCCGCCACAACTAGACTGAAGAACAAAAGGACAGCAACTTGTCTGTTCCCCTGCTCCCAATTCCCCAGCGCTATTCCCATTCCCCAATTCCCCAATTAAAAAAAAAAGTCTTCCAGGTGATTCTGATTCATGCTCAAACTTGAGAACTGTTGGGTTAAGAGCTTCTCATCCCTAGCTGCACTCTTGAGGCATTTGTTTTAAAACACAGATTCTGGAGCAGAGCTCAGGAAGTCCCTGTTTTTTTTTGTTGTTGTGTTGTTTGTTTGTTTGTTGTTTTTGTTTTCTAGGAAGTCCCTGTTTTTAATCCCTAGGAGATTCTGTTGCTCAGCAGGATTGAGAATCACAAACACATTATCTCCTTATGGACAATACTGAGGACTATGCTGAGTTTTTGTCACAGGCCTTCCATCCCCTTATCTGGAGCACAGATTAGAGTTTTAGGATTAGATGGCATTTCCTGGCTCAGCTCCTATCTTTGTGATGGAATCAAGGCCTAGGCAGAGAGTGATGCCTGTGTTTCTTAGAAGGGAAGCTAGAGTGTCTCTGCCTATTAGTCTCTTCTGTCTCTCTTCCCTTTAAGGACTTGAAGAAGCAATTAGCTACATATGATATAGAGGCTTGGAAGAAGAGGCTCTGCAGAAAGAGTGAATGGGAATGGTGGTTGCCAAAATATAGTTACTGTTAGTCCCTGAATCTTCTCTGTTTCAAACTAGGCATTTCTAGTTCCCTCAGTTCTTTTGTCATCTTCCAATTATTATCAGCTCTGCTAGACACATAATCTATGACCTTGGGCCAGGCACTTCTTCTGCTTTCATTTCTCCATTATAGAATTGGGACTATGCCTGTTATCGCCCAAAGTGTGAAGAGGGCAGGCAAGGCTGAGGGAAGGACCAATGAGGAGAGACTACCTACATTTGCCAAGGTATAAAATGCACAAGGTAATAAAACTAACTCCATTACACAGTGAATTTTTTGGGAGGGCGGGTAGAAGTCTGAACTCATCACACTTGTTTTAAAAGTGGTTTATAAGGGAAAAAAATTTCATGCATGCAAATACTGAACCCTGGAGCAACAGTGAGATAATGTGAACTTCTGTTTGCAGTTGAGTTGATTCATTATTTCACATGTCCTTTTCTTGGCTTCCTGTCATAGTAGAGGCATATAGAAACAGGGTAATGTTCATATACATGTAGAGGAATGCATGTTGATTACAGGCAAATATGGTTATATTAATTGAGGTTCTATGTGTTAAACATTTTACTTACATCACTCTATTTAATCCTTACAGTAACCTTGTGAGATTTTTATTGCCTTTTACAGAAGACTGAGTTGACGTGATCTGACTTAGTGAAGTAGACACAATGTCAAACAGAGGCATGATTTGAACTCAGATATGTCTGATTTGAGGGAGCTTTTGTTCTTTTACAATCACCGGACTTGCTGTCGGTTCCCTGACCCTCATAGTAAAACTTGTTTAAGAAGCCAGCCAGGCTGAAGTGAGCTCTTACTGGTAGGATTTGATACAGGGAAAATATATGATGTGCTCCAGATGACGCACTGAACTAAGGCTAAAACCTAGGTTTTTGTTTTTTATTGTCTGCCAAACCAGAAAGTGCATCTTATGGCCAAAAGATGAAGCAGTCCTTTGCTACAGCAATGCCAACACTGATCAAGAAATCAAGAAAGGAGCTAGGGTGTGCCTACCACTCCCTGGTTCTGAAATAGGGTCCTGACATTTCAGATTGGCAGAGAAGATCCTTGGAGAGCCATCCAAAAGGCAAACATGATACAAGGTCACATTATCAGGGACAGAGTGTACCTACAATTAGGAAGTCAGCCTTCTTTTGGGCTATACATTGGTCTAGGCTTTTTAAAGCTTCAGTTCTGGATTTCAAAATATAAATGGACAAAGTGAAGGGGATAGAAATGAACAATCAAATATGTTAACCAAAGAAGAGGTTCAGGCTTTATTAAAAAACAGGGCCGGCCGAGTGGCGCGATGGTTAAGAATTCGCTTGGGATGCCAGAGGGCCCCGGTTCGGATCCCACATATGAGGGCCAGTGACACTGCCCTCTACAGCTAAGATGCTGAACAACAGCTCAACCTGGAGCTGGGCTGCCCTGAGTCGCCGGCGACGGCGTGGGCTGCAGTCCCTGTGGCAGTGGATTGCCATGGGCTACCATGTGTGGCCAGCAGCCAGCGTGAGCGGCCAGCAGCCGCAGTGAGCGGCCGTCCAGAAGCCGGCGACTGATCTGCCTCGCCAGGGAAGAGCGCAATGATGGTGCCAACTTGGGCCAGTGAAGCAACATCCTCCACAACTAGATTGAAGAACAAAAAAAAAAAACGACAGCAACTTGTCTGTTCCCCTTCCCCCAATTCCCCAGCACTGTTCCCATCCCCCCAATTCCCCAATAAAAATCTTTTAAAAAAAACAAAAACAAAAAAACAAAGGCATTTATTTAAGCAAAAAGAATTGCAACCCAGGAGACATAGATTCAGGTAGCAACACGTAAATTGTGCTCTGGAGAGAACAAAGAAAGGTAGGGTTAACAAAGACAAAACCCACAAAATGTTAATTCTTTCATGCAAATGAAGGATTGCTGGCTAGATTAACAGGGATTGGAGAGTTCCAGTATGCAAACGAGGGGGAAAAGCTGCCAGGAGGAAGTAAATTTCATTTGTGTTCACATAGCAGTTGTTTCAGGATGAGTTTAGCAACTTAAGAGCAGCCCTGAGAATTAAATGTACATAGGCCTTGACTTAATAGCCTCCTGACCCTATTTTAATGGATTCTCTTAGAAATGCATATTCTATTTTATTTTCTCCATTATCAAATATATTTATTTTATTTATTTGAAAAGCATTTGTATAGTTCTTACTGTGTGCCAGGTGCTTGGATATATTACCACATTTAGTCTTCAACAACTTCATTCAATAGATACAATTATTATCCCAGTTTTACAGATGAATAAATAGAGACTCTGAGAAATTAAATATTTGCCCAAAGCCAGAAAGTCAATAAGTGGCAGGGTCAGAAGGTAATCGTTGGCAATCTGGCTCCAGTCCCCATACTCTCAGCCACTGTACTGTACTGCCTCTCAAGACTGCAAGCAGAATTCTAAAACCATAGATTCAGAGTTAGAAAGGCCATTTAAAAGACTTTTAGCCCAACCTCCCAACCAATACAGGAATCCCCTCTATGCATTCTCTGCCCTGCTTGAACATTTACAGTGCCTGGAGCTTAGGATCTCAAAGGCAACCCATTCCAATATGGACCAACCCTGATTGTAAACAAGTTTATCTTTAAAGTGAGCTGAAGAAGAGAATCTATTCCGCTCATGTTTGCTGAGCCCATGTAATGTTTAAAACACTCTTATTTGTTATATAGAAAGATAAGCAATATATGATCCCTGTCCCTTACAGAATCTTAAGACAAACATGCATATGATGGCAGAATGTGGTACATGTTATAATATAAAGGTGAGCTGCAGGAGTACAGAAGAAAATGAAACTAATTCCAAAGATGGGAGTTAGGGAAGGCGTCATAGAAATGGTAATAACTCAGCTCTATCTTGAAGTTGGGCAAGATTTCAACAAGCACACCTGAGGCAGAAATATCAAATAAGCACAAAAGTGCTCTCTTATGGCCGCCTTTCAGATAGCTGACAAGAGCCAGGTGATGCACTGAGCCTGGTTTCCCCCTGTCCCCTCAGCTGTTTTGCTTTTCATTTTATGTTTAACAGCTTGGGCTCTGGGTTTGGATCCCACTTCTGCCACTTGTTACCAGGGCCACATTAGGATTGTGTGGGCCCTAGGTGCATTTACCTTGTGGACCACTTCCTCCATTGAAAAAAAATAAAAACTACAAAAAATTAGACTTTACAACAGTGTTGGTATAAAGACAAATATATTGATATATATTAAAATATTTACTTCACCCTAAAAGTTCATTTTTCTTCTGATTTAAAAAGAGACAATAACATATGGAACCATAAAAGACCCTGAATAGCCATGGCGATCTTGAGAAATAAGAACAAAGTCAGAGGTATCACAATACCTAACATCAAATCATACTACAAGGCTATAGTAATCAAAACAGCATGGTACTGGCATAAAAACATACACATAGATCAATGGACCAGAATAGAGAGCCCAGAAATAAATCCATGCCTATATGGTCATTTAATCTAAGACAATGGAAGCAAGAATTTACATTGGTGTAAAGACAATCTATTCAATAAATGGTGCTGGGAAACCTGGACAGACACATGCAAAAAAAAAAAATGAAGCTGAACCACCTCCTTATGTCTTATACAAGAATAAATTAGAAATGGATTAAAGACTTAAATGTAAGATCTGAAACTATAAAACTCCTAGAAGAAAACATAGGAAGTAAATTTGCAGACATTACCCTTAGTAATATTTTTACTGATATAGCAACTTGGGCAAGAGAAGTAAGAGAAGAAATAAACATATAGGATTACATCAAACTAAAAAGGTTTTGTGTTTTTAAGATTTTTTTAGTTGGGGAATTGGGAAAGGGGAACAGCCAAGTTGTTGTCCTTCAATCTTAGTTGTGGAGGGCACAGCTAGCTCATCTCCCAAGTCCAGCTGCCATCTGGCCACCTGTAGGCAGCTCCCTACCGCTTAGCTCAAGGAGACATGTTCAATCTTAGTTGCAGGTGGGCACAGCCCACTACCCCATGCGGGAGTTGAACCAAAGACCTTGTTGTTAGGAGCAGGTGCTCTCACCAGCTGAGCTATCCTGCCACCTGTTGGCATCTCAGCGGCAGCTCAGCTCGGGTGCAGCTCACTAGCCCATGTGGGAATCGAACTGGCGACCCTGTTGCTCAGAGCTCACACTCTTAACCAACTGAGCCACTTGGCAGGCCCTAAAAAGTTTTTTCACAGCAAAGGAAACCATCAATAAAACAAAAAGGCATCCTACTGAATGGGAGAAGATATTTGTCAATGATATATCTGATAAGGGGTTAATATCCAAAATTTACTTTAAAAACTCATTCAACTCAACACCAAAAAAACAAACAACCCAATTAGAAGAGACACTTTTCTAAAGAGGACATACAGATGGCAAACAGACATGAAAAAATGCTCAACCTCACTAATCATTAGAGAAATGCAAATAAAAACCACAATGAGATACCACCTCATTCCAGTCAGAATGGCTATCATCAATAAGTCAAGAAACAACAAGTGCTAACGAGGTTGTGGAGAAAAGGGAACCCTCGTGCTCTGCTGGTGAAATTGCAGATTGGTGCAGCCACTATGGAAATCAGTGTGGAGGTATCTCAAAGAACTGGAAATGGAACTGCCTTATGACCCAGCAATTCCACTCTTAGGTATCTATCCAGAGAAACCCAAGATGCTAATTTGAAAAAATATATGGACCCCTATGTTTATTGCAACACTATTCACAATAGCCAAAACATGGAAATAACTGAAATGCCCATTGCTAGATGACTGGGTCAAGAAACTGTGGTACAGGGGCAGCTGGTTGGCTCAAGTGGTTGAAGCACAGTGCTCATAGCACCAAGTTTGCTGTTTTGATCCCTTCATGGGCCATAGAGCTGCGCCCTCCACAACTAAATTGAAGACAAATACTTGACTTGGAGCTGTTGGATGGAAGGGCACACTGTTCCCCAATACAATTTCTTAAAAAAAAAAGTAAAGAAACTGTGGTACATTTATAAAATGGAGTATTACTCAGCCATAAAGAAGAACAAAATCATACCATTTGCAACAATATAGATGGACCTAAAGAACATTATGCTAAGTGAAATAAGTCAGACAGAGAAAGACAAATACCACATGATCTCACTTATATTTAGAATCTAAAGAACAGAATAAATGAACAAACTAATCAGAAACCGTCTCAGAGATATAGAGGAAAAACTGAGGGCTGCTAGATGGGAGGGAGGTGGGGATGAGGGAGAAGGTGAGGGGATTTGAAAGCACAATCGGTAATCACAAGACTGCCATGTGGATACAAAAGACAGTTTGGGGAATATAATGAATAATGTTGTAAAGGTTTTGTACAGTGTCAGGTGTGTACTTGTTTTATTAGGGAGACCACTTCATGGATGGTGTAGGTGCCTGACCACTGCAGCAGTGTACACCTGAAGCTGAATAATATTGGATGTCGACTATAGTCATATATATATATATATATATATATATATATATATATATATATATAGTCTCAGGATGTGGGGTACTGAAAAGGGAATAGAGTCAGTGGAACTGTAACAGCTATATACAATGTCAGAGGGGTAGTAGATTGTGGGTGGGAGGTTATCACTTTGTGAGAGGTATAAATGTCGAACTATTTCATTGTTTTGTACATCTGAAACTAATAAAAAAAGAGAATAAAAATAAGAAAAACAAAATAAAAAAAGAATAACAACAACAAAAAAGAAAATAAAGCATTTTTATAGGCCCCTAAACGTATTGTGGGCCTTAGGCACTATACCTACCATGCCTAATGGATAAATCATCTCTGTTCATTACCGTTAAACTCTAAGAGACTCAGATTCCTCATCCATAAAATGGTAATAATGCTATAACACCTATATCATAGTGTTGTGATAAGGATTAAGTGAGATCTTGCATGACATACGAGTACATTAGCACACAATAAATGGCACTAATAAATGTTAGCTATACATATGTAGGATGACCATATAATTTACCACCCAAAACAGAATACTTTTGAGAGTGGAAGGAGGTAATAATTGAATGGAATGACAGCAACAGGCATAAACTGGGACCCAATAGTCACTTTATATATATATATATGTGTATATATATATATATATGTATATATATATATATATGTATATATATATACATATATATATATGTATATATATATAACTTACTTTCCTAATCTTTCACCATGCTAGTCACCCTCCTTTAGACACTCAGCCCATTTTGTCAATGGCTCATTTAAAATGTGGTGAACAGAAAAATTCTAGGTATGGTCTAACCAGAGGAACAATTTTTTATTCACGTATCAACTGCTTGAGCAGCTCTATAACATGGCTGGTCCATTGAACAAAATCTTTAGTTGTTTATAATTTCTTAAACATTACCAACAGTAAAGATTTTCAAAATTATATCTATGAAGTCTTTTACTACCTTAGAATGTTACTGATCTGGGCTCAGAGACTTTAACTCCTATAACATTTTGTTTGTTTATTCCTACGTTAGAGCATTTACATCCATGTAGCATAATTTACTTGTGTACAAGTAAGTGAATCCACCTTTCTGTCAATCATTGCTCAAGGGCAGGGACCATGACCTATACATCTTGTTGATATGAGCATCACCTAGCACAGTATCTGAAACAAAGTAGGTACTCAATAAATGTTGCAGGAAATAAATTCACACACGAATGCATGAATTTAAAACAGCTATATATTCTCTTACCAATACTTCAACTATCTTGGCATTTACCACCGTTAGCCATATTTATTCTTTCCCCCACCCCCCAACTTGGAAACGTTGATAGTTGTTTTAACTTGGAAGCTATAAATAAAATAAAGTTGAGTAGTCTGGGTTTCTCTTTGTTATCTTATGTGCATTACCTTATATCTAAGGTGACCAGATGTTGCAGTCTGCTGCAACTCCATTAACGCTTTTTATGTTTGCTGCCCCTTTCATCCTCAAAAGTGTCTTGATTTGGTTGATAAATTATGTATGGTCATCCTTCTTATGACAACTTCCTTTGTCTTTTTCTTTTGAACATAACTTAAGAAGTCCTTCCTGTTGTCCCCGTATGTCTTATTTTTACAGACATGTACATTTTTACATTTATCCTGGGTAATATATGTTACAGTTTATGTTCCAGAAAAGCCAAATAAAAAGGATAGGTTTAAATTGCAGAGAGTAAAGCTTAGAAGATCAGGATTGGGAGGAACCACTAAACAAATACTTCTATAAACTACTGAGAGGTTTGTAAACTCTCCTTCCATGGAGACCGTGACAAACAGGTTTAGCATTCTTCTGTTGTGTGTTAGGCATAAGCCTGCTTTAAGGTCTTGATGACCTTTAGAAGTCCGTCCCAGCTCTGAGATTCTCTAATTTTTAAAGCTAGATTAGCAATAAAGGTCATTGGGTTATATCTGGGGCTAGGATCAGCAGATGATCCCAGGATGGATAAAGCCATAAGGCAAGAAAATCTGTTAGGAAAGGAGCAGATGGATGGCAGTCTAGGTACCTCTTAGTGGAATTTCCAGATCCATTGTTCCCAAGCTGGATTTTCCAACCTCATCTATGGAAGTCAAGGGCAGTGGTAGCCTATGCCCTATTCTGCCCGAGTCATACTTCTACTCACTTTGCCACCTAAGAGATGCTGGCCTAGCTCCTGGGATAGGAAAGGCCAGAGTGCCCAAAGCCCCATGTGCTCTGAAAGCTCCCTAGTGCCTGGGAACTAAGTAAATGTCAGTTCTCAGGATTAGCCTCTTGCATAATCTTGTTATTTAACGTCAAGCCTTTCCAGTATTAGTGAAGTACAGCTCTCCTGCCCAACTCCCATGACACCCCCACCTTCATTTCCAACCCCACGCAGCACTGTTTTTTGTTGTGCAAGTAAAACTCTGCCTTGATGAACTACATGGTAGCTTTCAGTTCCCCTCTTGGGCTTTGCTGAAATGGCTCAGCAATTTAAACGTGGTTGAAACCCTCCAGCAGGTTCAAGAGGATCTCTGTAGCCGTCTCAGCAATACAGAACATTTCTTTCCCTGGCCCTCTCCATTTGGCTCCATGGCCTCGCAGTTCAGTCCTGCTTTCCTCCAGGAGCATAAGGAACTCCAGCTGGTGAGTAGCATACCAGGAGGCTGTGGGCTGACCAGGAAACTGATGGCTCAGTGCCCAGCAACAAACATTTGGCCTGAGTATCCAATATCCACTTGGTAGATATTGGGCCATTAATTGAATTCTAGGTTGCAGATGAGGAAGCTGAGGATGAGGCAAGTATATAACTTGAGCATAGCTGGTAAGTGACAGAGCTGGGACCTAAAGCCAGGTTTTGCAGACTTCAAAGCTGACCCTGCTTCAGGTCCAGATAGCCCAAGAATGTCCCACCCCTTTTGCTTACTTTCCAGGAATGGAATGGGTTGAAAAGATCAGGTGCTCCCTGTACGATTTTTCACTGGGTTTTAGAGAATGCAAAAGCTTAATCTTCTTCGCACTCAGGCAATGTGCAATCATTCAGCAGCCCTGCCTGCTGAGAGATGCAATGGTGAACGACTTGTATAGGCCTGTGTAAACTGTTAAAAGTTAGGTCCCCTTGTGGTACAGTCTTGGGGCAGAGTCAAAACACAAATCCAACTTCAAAAGCTTTTTCTTAAAGAGAACCTTTTCTGTTGATTTTCTTAATGGGACAATGCACGGTTTTACATAGCATGTCAAACAGTAAAGCTTGATAAAATTTCTCTTCTCTTGTCCAGCCCCTTAAAGACTCCACAGCCACAGTTCAAATCTCTGTCTCTTCCCCTCACCCCACCCCACAGCCATTCTCACTCTTTTTCTTCCTTACTCCATGCTGTTCTCTCTACTTCTTCCTTCTCAACGCACCTAAAAATTTGTTCTCTTTGCCTTCAGGCTTCTGGGATAGTGTAACCCCCTGGGTTGTCAATCTGGTTTCTTGCTCTGGATGTTTGTTTCCTGCAGGGAGTACCCCCACCCCCGTGCCCAATTCTGGTCAATTATAAATTCTGGTCTCCTTCTTGTTAAATATGGATGATGTAACACCTATTGGGAAAAAAATTAAAACAAAAATTTTAAATCTTTTTTTCAGTGAAGAATTTGCTATTCAGGCAGTCCACGGCATATAATATTTTGGGGGAAGATGTTCTAGGTTGAAGTGAGGTAGATCAAACTTTATTTTCTTATAAAAACAGTTTTAGAAATAAGGGGTTACATTTTAAGCTGAATGCCTGATGCCAATTTTTTTTTCATTAAAATGACCATAAATATCATATTTAATCAAATGCTAAGTCCTATGCTTGTAGACTAAATTTTATATTTATGGTAAAAATACATTCCAAATTTTTAAATTTAGTTCCAATGAAAAATATTCTAATCCTAAGACAAATGTATACGAGCATGTTTTGATTTTTTGATTCAGAAAATATGGACGGCATAAATTATTTTTTTCTAAAATGTATATAAATTAAGTAGAGCAACAAAGTAACTATCATAATAAAATTGCATTAAATAGGACATAGTCTGCTATAGAAAAATTCTTATTTCTTCACAATCCCTGACTGATTTTGAATACTATAACCTGACAAGTTTGGTTCTGTGCCCCGTCCCCACCATTTTAAAAGCTCTGCATCATACTGCCGTAAATAGCACTGTTTGGGTCTCTGCCCAGATTCCTCCCTATTCACTCCTTTGACAGTCTCCTGTCTCCTCTCACCTGCCGGGCATGATAAGCCTAGTTCCACACCTACTCTAGAAGCCTTTCATTTTGACCTCCTTTAAGAACTTCTCTCCTCTCTGGCTTACAGGTCTCAGCTTCCTGCTCTGTCATTGCCTCTGAATGCTCCATTGATTGCAGTCACACCAGCAGCTTCCACTAGCCCTGTCCCTATGGAAATTTTAGCAATAAGTCTTGTCCCTTTCTGTCCTTTGTCAGGGCAAGGCATTTGAATGTTTGGAGAAGTTTGAGTGTTTATACTTTTCCTTCACTTAAGATTTCCTATAACAAACAGGGATAGATGTTAGGGGTCCTATTGGTATCCCTTGTCATCTATGAGAGCAGAGAACACATGAATCTGGCAGTGTTGTCTTGTTCTCTTCCCCCTTCCACACAACACTTATGCAAGACATATTTACTTATACTGCTACGTACTTCTTCTTCCTCTTCTGCTCATCTTCCTCTTTCTCCTTCTCCTTCTTATATTTACTTTTACAATGAAATCTCTCATCCTTTGATCTATTTTCTTCTTCTTGCCTAACAAAGTCAAAACACCTTAAAGCACTGACCACCTAGTATTAATCAATCTACTCATCTCAGTCATTATGCCAGGGGGCTGCCTTAAAATCGAAATTGAAGCTATTATTACAGCATTGCTTTTTTTTTCCCTAAAGATTTTATTG